GAACTTTGTGCGATACACCAATACAAACAATTTTTAGACCGCCTTTTATACTACAGTTTCCATTACATTCTTCTATACTACTAAAACATCACCATAAGTGCATTCTCTTAAATTTTTTCCAACAATCTCAGCCATTTAGTTGCTGACTCAGATTTAAAAAAAAACTCTGACTTGTAAAATACTTCTCCTTAGGAACAATATTTTGAGTAGTAATAATTCATTACTCTCTATGTACAGTGATTGTAGACTTGTGTAACAATTTGTTACGAAATGGACGCACAGGGACAGAACCAAGTGCTCGGTCTTGCGTCGGCACTTCTAGCCGTTATATTGTACGGCTCCTGTTATGTACCTGTAAGATGGTTCGAAGCAGGAGATGGTGACCTTTTAAAATTGATAAAAACATATCTCAAAGAAATATTTAATATCCAGGTGTTTATTTTCAATGGATGATGTGCATCGGTCAATTTTTTGTTGGTGTAGTCGTAATGGCATTCGTTGGCTGGCCGCCGGTATTTCCCTTAGTTATGCTTTCAGGAGCCTTTTTTGCATTGGGTAAGGAATGTAGTTGAGCTTTTCAGCCCTATCCTGTGTTTTTTAGGTAATGCACTCACAATAACTATTATGGATGGTATTGGTATGGCAGTCGGTTCATTGCTATGGAATACAGTAGCTTGCGTAGTAGGATGGGGTGTCTCTCGATTCGGTTTATTCGGAAGTCCCGTGAAAGCACCACTCGATGATTATATGAACATTGCTGGGGTAATCATTGTTTGCGTCGGGTGAGCCTTGCGCTCTAAGCAATTGTAGAACCGTTTCTACCCGGCCGTAAAACTTGTTTGAATTCCAAAGAAGTCTCTTAAATTTAATAATTTTTTCTATATTTTCTAGCATTTTAGTACTCTCATCTCAGAAACGATCACTAGTTGTGGCGTAGACGCTTGCCTTTAATAAAAAAGTAGTGCGTTATTCATTATAAAAATTTCAACGGCTTTCCAGCGGTGTCTTCTTTGCCACGCTCAAACACCATCCAATGAAAGTTAGACCAGCTCCTTGGCAGATGAAGGTACAAAAGCGATCGTTATGCTTGTTTGTCTATTGAAATTGTTTCTAATGAATTTAGCCAGAGCTCCCAAATAATAAGAAAGATCTCAAAGACGAAAGCGAACATGTGATATCAAGTACAAGAAGAATAATGTA